TCCATATTGTCCACGGCATTGGCTGTCAAAGAGCCATCATAAGAAGTTTCAGTCTTATCAATGATTGCTCCCACTTGAAAGGTTTCGAGAAGTTCGATCTTCACCGCTTTTAATTTGTTAATAATTATTTGTAACTCATGCAATTGAGGTAATAAGGGAATATTATCCAAAAACTTGAAATCAAAATATTTAGAAATTAAAAACTTCTTCGTACCTTCCTCATCGGCCTTATATTTACTTTCAAGTGCATAACAGATCTCTTTTGCTGAAGTGGTGTTGGTGTAGAGATCGTATAATCGATTCGATGGTGCATTTAGAATGTGGTCACGATATATTAATTCGTCATCTTCTCGTTTCTTTCTTTCTATACGAACCTCATCAGTGTCTTTGTCTGTTGCATCTGGAATTGGCTCCTATTTTGGATCAAGCACGTAGAAGATCTTTAAAGCCTTAAGGAGGAATTTGAGTTTGTCATGCCATCTTGTGAAGTTATCAAATCTGTCCAAACGCACTAAGTCTTGATTCATCAATTTGATTGTAGCAAGTGTAGATTTCGTCTCCATCGCAGTAGAATGACAATTATCATTTGAGATTGTTATCAAAAAATACAGCAATGAAGAAAATAAATGAAGAAGATAATGAATATAAAATACGGCAAAGGCTTGAATACGAAGAATATATCGTTGTCCTCAAACGGTATTTGCCTCATCGACAATGCTTTTAAGGATTCAATTGGCAAATAGTCTGTAGGATTAAACAAACATTTAATGAAGATTACTAAAAGTAAATTGAATCTTCAAACGAACGAGTGAAAAAGAGGAATTTGATTGTGTAGAGGGATAAAAATTTCTTTGAAAAGTTGGATAAATAATACAATAATTTTTTTTACTTAATCATATATTTTGGGATGAGCACAACAAGTAATTATAGATTTCAATCATTTCATACGAAATGGTTCCAATTTCAAAACAACAGGTGCAATGTTTCATTAATAAACCACCAGAGAATTCGAAGAAACCCAACCAATGTTCACATTTTTCAATTATGCGACCACATAGATTATAGCTAAATCGCGAATCAAAGTCCACTGCCAAAAAAATGTGCAAACTGCCGGTTTCTCTATTTTCGGCCACCAACTTGGCCGAAGCCAACCACCGGTCACTAACCCACCCCTGGACGACCTTTCCCATGTCACCAATTTTGTCCAAACATCTCTCTATCATGCTGAATTTAAACCAGAAAACA